GCTCAACCCTTTAACACAGCTCCTCGTGTGGTGGTGACCCCCAGCCATAACATTATTCTCGTGGCTACCTCACCACTGTGATGTTGCTTCCGTTATGAACCGTGATGTAAATGTCTGTGTTTCCCGATGGTCTCAGGCTCCACAGCAGCGGTTCTCGGCCTGGGGGTCGCCATAGCAGGAGGGGCTGTATGAAAGGGGCGCGGCCTTAGGAAGGCTGAGAAGCACTGTCCTAGGAGAATGCCCCTCAATTCTACAGCAGGTCTGCCCTTGGGGGCCTGCCGCCAGGGGCAGGGGCAGGGGCAGGGGCAGGAGGGAGGCCATAACGGTGGGGAGACTTGCCGGACAGTCTGGCCCTGGGCTGTTTCCCCCCTCACCGTTCCATAAACCCTCACGGCCATCCCACCAGTGGCTACTGTCTCAGTCCTGGTTCTGAAGGCGGGTGGAGGGTTGAATGTTGGCCCTCGGACGGGAATGTCCACGTGCTGACCCTGGGCCCTGTGAATGTGACCTTATTTATTTATTTTTTTAAAGCCAGCTTAACAAATATATTTTTATTTATTGATTTCAGAGAGGAAGGGAGAAGGAGAGGGAGAGAGATTCATCAGCAATGAGAGAGAATCATGGATCGGCTGCCTCCTGCATGCCCCACACTGGGATCGAGCCCGCAACCCGGGCCTGTGCCCTGACCGGAAACTGAACTGTGACCTCCTGGTTCATAGGTCGACGCCCCAGCACGGAGCCACGGGAGCCGGGCTGGGCGTGAGCTTATTTGAAGGAGGGTCTTAGCGGAGGCCGCCTCGATAGGGATCTTCAGGTGACTCCATCCCGATGACCCAGGGGCCCCTAGTCCATGAGGCCGACGGGGAGACCAGGCAGGGAGGAGTCTCCCTTGGAGTAAGGTGACCAGACGCCCCGATTTTTAATAATGTGTCCCGCGTCCCGTGGCATTTAAAAAAAGTCTTTTTTAAAACGCCGCAGGACACATTGTTAAAAATCGGGGCTGTCCTGCCAAAAGCGGGACGTCTGGTCACCTTATCTCAGAGGCCCCGGCGGGAGCCCGGCTGGATGTTCGGACTTCCGGCTCCAGAGCCGCAAGGATCTACGTGTGTGTTGTGTTACACCACCCGGTAGGTGGCAATTCACGGTGGCAGCCACCGGAAACGAACACAACGTGGAAATGGGGGTCAGAGGGCCTGGGCAAGGTCAAGCGGCTCTGGGGTTTCCATTCCCAGGGCGGGGAGGGCCGGCCCTTCCCCCCTCACGCGGCCCCATCGCGGGGACCGGCTGCGAGGCGAGCGGCTTTGCTTTTCGGCTGAAGTTCCTTCTCCCCAGGGCCATCGGCGGCCCTGCCGGCAGCCCTGCCCAACAGAGATCCTGGGGAGGGACCTCCGCCTACGTGCTGCCATTGAAAAATCTTCAAAAGGTGGGGCCCAGCCGAAACCGGTGTGGCTCAGTGGATAGAGCATCGGCCTGCGGACTGAAGGGTCCCAGGTTCGATTCCGGTCAAGGGCATGTTCCTGGGTTGCGGGCACATGCCCAGTAGGAGGTGTGCAAGAGGCAGCTGATTGATGATTCTCACCAATGTTTCTAACTCTCCATCCCTCTCTTTTCCTCTCTGTAAAATATCCATAAGATATATACTTAAGCCAAGACCGGTTTGGCTCAATGGATAGATAGAGCATCGGCTTGGGGACTGAAAGGTCCCGGGTTCGATTCCGGTCAAGGGTATGTACCTTGGTTGCGGGCATATCCCCAGTAGGTGGTGTGCAAGAGGCAGCTGATCGATGTGTATCTCTCATCAATGTTTCTAACTCTCTTATCTCTCTCCCTTCCTCTCTGTACAAAATCAATAAAATATGTTTTTTAAAAAAAGATATATACTTAAAAAACAATTTTAATAAAAAGGAGGGGCCCCGAGGTGCTGGTGGGAGGGAGGATGGGGCGGGGCGTCTGTGAAGAGACAGGGGAGACGCATCCTGGGTGGGTGCTGCCAAGGAAACAGCCGCGAGCAGCCTCTGCGTGGACGGCAGTTTGGACGGCACCGGAGCGGCGGCTCCGAGAGCTGAGCTCCCGGCCCAGCTGCCAGGACTCGCTTCCTCGGGGAAACCCGGGGCCGAGGAGCCAGAGCCGTTTCCCGGCTCCCGGTATTCCCCTCGCGTTTTCCCTCCAGACAAGCACGTCGGGGCCGGGAAGACGAGGCGCCGCAGCCCCGGGCCTGGGCCCAGAGCCGACGGAGCCGCCCGCCGCCCGGGGTCCCCCAGCCTCCCTGGACCAGCACGGGGCGGCTCTGCCCGGAAACCGCCAACGTGTCAGAGCCAGCGGCGGCCCCTCCCCGCGCAGGGTCCCGGGCCTGAGCCTCGGGGATTTCTGCTTTCCCCCCCGAAGGCCCCCGGCGATGCAGGAGGCGCTTGTGACGTTCAAGCGAAAGCCCCAAACTCGGTCCTTGGCTCCTGGGCTTCTCCGGGCTTTCTCAGGGACGCGGGAAGGTCGCGCTCAGATGAGGTGACCAGCGGGACAGTCCCAGTTTTTAACAGTTCGTCTCGCGTCCCGCGGCGTTTAAAACAAATTGTTAAAAATCGGGACTGTCCCGCCCACAGCGGGACGTCTGGTCACCTCACTCTCAGAGGAGAAAGGGAGGGAATAGTGTGGCCTCACTTTCCCCGCCTCTAGAGCCGACCAGGAAGGGGGTGCCCTGGGCGGGGGGGAGGCCCCGGGCAAGGTCAGCGCCCTCCCCTGTGGCCCGCTGCCCTCCGGCCGGGCTTTCCCACGGGGAGCACCCCTCTGCCCAGGAAACACATCGCGAGGCCAGCAGCCTGGGAGGAAAGGCTTGGAGAAGTAGTTTTTCAAAGCGTTTCTCTTAAAAATAAAGAGAGAGAGAAAAGAAAAAGACCCTCAGAGTCCTGCCGAGGACGCCGAGCTGGACGGGCGGTGCAGAACGCACTGGGCCGCCAGCCGCTGAGCCCCCGGAGCCCCCAGGGCCGGAGCGGCTTCCTCTGGGCTCCGCGGCCAGGACATCATTTGTTGATTCTAGAGCCCAGTCCCTAGCTCACGGTTTCCTCCCCGGTTGCCATGGCCCCGTCCCGAAAACACAGCAAACGCCTGGCCCCGGGCAGCTCGTTATTTCAAATATTCCTTGCAGCTGGACTCCAACCACGCTTGGGTGTCTGGGCTGCAGCATGAACTAATTGCTCTGTCCTCGGCCCCTCCCGGCTCCCTGGCATACTTTGTGGTTCAGTGAAGCCCGCATTCCTCATCTCACCAAGGAGAGGGGAGGGGAGGGGAGGGGAGGGGAGGGGAGGGGAGGGGAGGGGAGGGGAGGGGAGGAGAGGAGAGGAGGGGCAGGGGGAAGGGCGGGGGGGCGATTGGGGGAGCCGAGTGCAGGAGATGGACATGGATGGAGGAGGGAGGAGGAAGAAGAAAGGAGGGAGGAGGGAGGAGGAAGGAGGGAAGAGGGAGGAAGAAGGGCAAGCTGAGAGGCTGCTCGCTACCTGCTGGAGGGCAGGCTATTAATTACATTCACATGGGCTGGTCGCCGGATGGTTTTATGAAGATCGCTCCCCTCAACGCAAAAGCCTGCCCCCGCCCCCACCCCAGAAGGCTCCAGGCCGCACAAAGGCCCTCCTTTTCCGTGTTCCCGACACCAGCCCGCCCCCCTCCCACTCCCACCGCCTGACCCCACGCCTCCCCGGCCCCCCCCACCCCAAGCCAGCCAGAGCTCCAAAGGCCACCTAAACACCATGTCAGACCCCCTGCCCTCCACACGTGTCTGGGGAAGGCTTCGCGGGGTCCCTTCCCCAACACCCACCGTGATCGCCGGCGGCCGTGCCTGGGAAGGAAGCACGTGTATCAGGAAGTCGGTTTAGGAATGCCCGGTCCCTTCTCCGAGGCCAGGTCCAGGCCGGGAACGGGCCCTTTCCAGGACAGAACGCAGTGCGTGGCTCCGACAGCGTGTTTGCACGCTGGCGGGGGGCCCGGCCGGCCGGTTCTAACACCTCACGTCACCCTGCCCCTGCCCCCGGGCGATGGGCCCAGGAGGACTGTCCCCCAGGGAGGCCCACCCCACATCCCACCGCCCGCCAGGGTCAGCGCCGACACCCGAGGCCAGGGCTGACTCAGGAGCCGTGTGCTCGTCGCCGGGCCAAGCCACCAGCCCACGAGAGCGTGCCCCTGTGCCCAGCGGCTTTCCGGGAGAGAGCGGACCCCGCCCCGGGGGCGCCCGCCTCGGGCGAGGCCCCTCGGGGAGTTTGAGAAAACAGCACCTTCCTGGGCCCGGCCCCGGACATGTGGGCTCGGCCAGCTCCAGCGGGGCCTGGAGGCCTGCATTGTGACCAACACCTCCCAGTGCCGCTGGTGCCGGCGGGCGGGAGGGCGGGCGGGGGACACAGCTCGCCGGGCGGGACACAGGACTCTGGTCCTGGGCGCTCGGCTGTCCGGCCAGCACACGCCCCCGCCCCGCGGACCCCAGCATGCCTTAAGGATGAAGAATGCCCACAGGGATGCACTCTGGCTAATTCTTTGGAAACTAGTCAGGACAAGGGATTGTTTCTCGACTGTTCTCCTGATCGCTTGCCCATCCTCCCAGGAAGTCAGCCTCTCCCGTGTTCCCGGCTGAGGGGAGGTGTGTGTGAGGACCCTGCCCACGGCGGCGGCCAGGGCATCCCTGTGCTTGGCCCCAGGGACAGACCCAACGACGAATGACCAGCTCCTTCCACTGACTGCCCTGAGCCTGGCGCACAGTCCTTCCTGTTAGGCCAGCAAGGCCCGCGGTCTGGGGCGCGGGCTCACAGACTTCCGAAAGGAGGTGGGGGCATTCTGGGATCGCCCATCCAGGGCCCTCCTGCTCTTCGGAGGCTCTGGCTGGCATGTGACGAGGGGAACGGGGTGGAGGCCGGCCATCCCCTCATTATCCGCTGAAAACCGGGGCCCCTGGAGCTGGCGAGCCCAGGAGGGGCCGGCCACGCCTCTCCCCTCCCCCCGAAGGCACAGAGAGGGACTCAGAGTTAATAAACTTTCCTTTATTCGGTTACTATGATCAACCATCATAAAATAGAATGGGAGTTTCAAGACTGTACAGGTCACAGGGCTCTGGGCTGAGAGGAGGAGGGGAGCTTAGGGGGACGCTGAGGGCGGCGGGGGGAGGGGTGCAGAGACGACAGAGCCCTGCCAGCGTCCGGCCGCGGCGGGAGGCGCGGGGTCCCGTGGGAAGCGGCAGGGGCCCTGGGAGTGGAACTCGCATGTGCAACGGTCACCGCGGGGCTGGCCTGGAGCAGGAGGAGGCAGGTCTCTGGCCTCACAGGGAAGGGAAGCTGAAACGGCCACCTCGCCGTGACAAGGGGCCACTGACACGCCTCCCCCGGTCTCGGCACCGAGGTTGTGCTTTAAAAAATATATTTCACTGGAAGACTTCTTTTTTTTTTCTTTTTAAAGGTACCCTACAGCAGCTGTTTAAAACATAATTCTTACGGACAAATATATACGCATATATATTAAACATTTTAAACAAATAAAGTCATCTATTGTACCTGTGCAGAAGGGGACGGAGCCGGCTTCGAGACCGAGAAACGCCAAATGTGGTGGCAGGGGCCGGGGCTGCTACGTGGGGGGGCTGCGGCAGGGAGGGGGGCCCTCTCCCGCCGCCCGCCCCGCCCCGCCCCGCCCCCTGGCTCTGGGGGGTCGTGATGAGCTAGGCACTACGTGGAGACACGCGTGGGCCACGCGTGGGCTTGCGTGAGGCGTGATGCCTCGCTCGTCTCCCGCAACCCCAGCCTGCTCCTCGTTCCTCCTCCCTCCTCGGTCCGGTCCTCCTGTGGGCCATCTCAGCCAGGAAGGCAGGAGCAAAACCAAACCCACAGCCCGAGCCCACGGAAGACACGGAAATAAGCCACGTGCGAAGGCGTGGGAGCCCACGTGTCCGTCGCGGCCGCTGTGGAGCCGTGACCCTCACGACGCTCCGACCGCCTGGAACTCAGGGCAGAGCCCCCGGGGAGCTGTGGGCCGAGGGACCCACGCAGACACGTGTGCCACGCGGGGACACGGCACGGCCGGCCGGCGAGGACGGGCGAGGCTGGCACGTGCCAGGAGCGGCAGGGCGGACGGAGAAAAGCAGGAGAGCCCTCCAGCGCGGGGACCGGAGGCGGTCCCTTTCTACGTGGAATAAATAAATGGCTTTCGTTACTGTGGAGAGAATAAATACAGGGTCCGGGCACCGGCCGCGGGCCTGGCGCTGAGCCTCCGTGCCGGCCGGCGGGCGGTCCCTCCGGCTGCTGCCTCGTCCCGTGAGTTTCTGACGTCCGGAGCGGGGTGCCCGGCACAGCCCTGCCGAGCACCTCTTAGCACCCTGGGTCTGCTCCGGGCCCCGCTCCCCGGACCCGGCAGGGGGGCTCCCAGGCCACCTGAGGTCCTATGTCCTTTTCCCAGGAGGGGCTGGCACGGGCACGCAGGGCCCTCTGCCAGGGCCGGGAGGGGCCAGGGGGCCCGTGTCCGCGTCCGTGTCCCGAGGGCAGCAGGAGGAGGAGGAGGAGGAGCAGGCCTTCCTCCCGCTGCGGACGCCTGTCCGAGGCGCAGGGCGGGCGGGCGGCGGGGCCTGGCTCCGTGGCTGTCGGCGGCTGTGGGCGGCGGCCGTGGTGCGGGCCCGGCGTCACTGGTAGAGGAGGTAGGCCTTGAGGGCGGCGGGCAGCGGCAGCGCCTGGATCTCGCCCAGACGCTCCTTCCCCAGGGCCAGGCGCACAGAGCGGCGGCAGAGGTCCATGAGCGGCAGGGGCTCGGCTGCGGAGACGGGGAGAGAGCGGGTGAGGCGGGCTGGGCTCTGGGCGCACCACCCCCAGGGGAGCACGCAGAGGACAATTTCATTTCAAAGCCATCGTTTTCGGCGAGCACAGAACCCACTTTGCAAAACGCGAGGGCCGTCCCCACCACCCGGGGGGCGGAGATGTCACGGTCACAGGCAGACGGGGGAACGGAGGGGTGGAGTCCAGATAACGCCCGGGGTCACGCTGCCAGGCGGACGGGAAGCTGGGTGCTGACTCAGGCTGCCCCCCTCTTACACCCGGGCGAGCGGCGGCTGCCGGGGCACCAGCAGCCGGCTCTTCCCTGAGTGCACCCCGCACCACTGTACGAAGCTTTCGGGAAAGGAATTATCTTGTGAGGACCCCCCCCCCCCAACTGCCCACGGGTACTGTTCCCATCTGCATGTCACAGCTGGGGGCACTGAGGCACAGAGGTCATAGGCCAAGGTCACAGGCCGGGCACCCGGACTGGGAAGAGGCCTCTCTGCAGCTGTAAGGGCGCCCGTGTCCTGGTGTCCCCTGAGGGCCCGGCCCCATCTTCCTGCCAGCGGGGCTCCCTGTAAGTCAGCGGCTCCGATAGACTTTCAACTCAGAAGGAGCCGGCCAGGCCGAGGCCCTGCTCACCCCTTCCCCCCAGGTGACCTCCCCTTCCCTCGTCCCTAAAAGCAGGGCCTGGGGAGCACAGTGTCCTGGACACAGAAAGGGCACACGCAAATGGGCGCCCCTTGACTCTGAGACTCCTTTGTGAGCAGAGCGAAGCCCAGACCCCCCACAACCCAGAGAGACCCAGCATTCCCCTCGGGAGCCCATGCCACCGACATGTTCACCACTGTGTCTCAGCACATTAACAGTCACATTAAAAACCTCAAATCCCTGAGGACCCCCTCCTACAGCTGAGGGTGTCAGGGTGAGGGGCGGGGTGACGGCTCCCGGCGGTGGGCTTCTCTGGGGGTGACGGGCAGGTTCTAAAGGCTATTGGTTGGTTGCTAGCAGGCCCCAAGCACTCCCTCCCCCGCCCCTAAAACTTCTCAAGGGGGAGCCGTAGGCTCTACACCCCGCTCCAGCCACAAAGCTGGTGCCCAAACAGAGGGGGCAGAGCTACTGGGCGAGGCCCGGCCGCGGTGCCATCTCGCTCGTTTGCATCGTTTCTATGAATGAGAGGGGACACGGCTCAGGATCGGGAAGTGAGTCGGCGCTATTTATGGGAGCAGAAGGCTGAGGAACTGGGGCGTCCGGGCGCCAACTTCCGCGTCTCTCGGAGAAGCGGTGACCTGGGGCCTGTGGGACCGAGCTCGGCCCAGCACCGCGGCCTGCGGCTCTCCAAGGCCTCGGAGCCTGCGACACCACCGGCGCCCCAGAGCCCACGCCGCCGCGTCTCATTCGCGGCCACGTGAATGCGCTTTGGAAGGACCCGGATTCGGCGGCGTCCTCACCCTCCCCTCCTCCGCTCCCGCCCGGGCCTGGCCGCTCCCACCGGCAGCGGCAGGGGCGCTGCTCCGGGAGATGGAGCCTAGAGCGTGTGGTGGGCCTGGCCTGCCTCCCGGGACGTGTGCGCCCGCCCCCTTCACAGGCAGCAGCTCTTACAAAAGAGCAGCAAACCCAACAGAACCCCTCGTCTGTGCCCAGTGGGAAAGGACGCCTGGCACCTGGCCAGGTAGCGTGGCCCCCCTGGGGCCCCTGCCCCCAACTCTGCGCCCACTGTCCCTGCAGGACCAGCCCCTCGGGGGAGGCAGGACGTCCCCCAGAAAGAAGCCCCTGCAGGGCGGGTGGTCAGTCCCCCCAGAGGGGATGGCCCCTGGACCCCGCTGGAAGGGAGGCGCAGGAGGGGCCCCCCACGGGCGAGGCACTCAGGAGGACACAGGAGGAGGTCAGCAAGTCGGAAGTCTCCCAGAGAAAGGAGCCGAGTCTCGGCTGAACCATCCATCGCAACAAACGGCAGCACCCTGATCCGGGAGGCACCAGAGGGAGAACGTGAACGTGTCTAACGCACGGAAAGGCCTCGGGCACAGAGACGGCGGCTCCCGTGGGGGCAGAGGGGACCTGCGGGCCAGGGGCTCTCCCTCGGGGGACAGTGACCACTGCTTGCAGATAGGAGTGGTCACAGCTCTGAACACCCCCCAGCCACAGAGTCCCCCCCAGACCCTGTCTCCAGACCCTGTCTCCAGACCGCCTCCAGCCTCCAGAGCCGTCTGGACATGGCCGCTCCCTGGACAGCTCCGCCCTGGCCTCCCCGTGGCCTCTCAACGCAGGACCCGGGGGTCAGTCAGCAGGCGAGGCCGGCAGCTCCAGCCCACGTCCCCTCATCCCACTCCCCACAGAGGCAGCGGGCGGAGGACGCCGCAGAGCCCTCACGTGTTTCCTCCTCTGGATCCTCTCCCAGGCCTCTGACATCATGGCCGAACAACCCCCCCCCGCCGTCCCCCCAGGGGACTGTGTCCCAAAGGCGCCTACCCAGGAGCCGCCAGCACAGAGAGAAAGACCCTAATGAGTGAGAGAGGCCCCTTGCTTGCCACTACGGGAGCACAATTATGCGAGGGACCTACTACCACCAGCACCACCAACCCCAGCTCAACACCACGCTGACTGCTGTGCTAGAATTTGGTCCACTGCACATCCTAAAGGCAGGTCGACCAGAAACAAGCCACATCTGTCAAAAACCATCCATCCGTTCACTGATTCCTTTACTCACCATCCATCCATCCATCCATCCACCCACCCATCCATTCATTCATCCACCCACTCATCTACTCATTCATTCCTCATCCATCCATCCACCCACCCATCCATCCATCCACCCACCCACCCATCCATCCATCCAACCAGCCACCCGCTCATTCATCCACCAGGTGCTGCCAGGTTGGCCGGCAGACTCCAGCAAGAACTTTCCATCTAACCAGAGGCAAGCAAGCGTCGCCTCTGAGGACCCGAGGACGCTGGGGCGTCTACCGAAAGGCATCTGAACCCCGAGGACCGCACCAGCTCCTGGCCAGGCCCGCCAGGCCCCTCGGACACAGGCGGGATGCAGCAGCGGCCACTTACGGTCGAGTCCGTTCACGTAGCGCATGCGGATCTCGCAGTGGCCCCAGACGGCACTCACGACGGGGTACAGCTTCTTGCCCTTGAGCCCCCGGAAGGCCACGCCCATGTACTGTCCGTCCACGATGAAGCTCAGCGTCCCGTCGTCCATGTCCAGGGCCACCAGGAAGGAGTCGGGGACGATGAACGTCTCGTCCGGCTCCAGGAAGGCCGGGTACGTCTTGCTCGGCTGGTTCTTGCCGTCGTGGTAGAGCCGGTTGCGCCCCAGGTCCCAGCCCCAGGACTCGTGGTTGTTGCCCACGAGGGTGGTGTAGCCCACGGAGTGCAGGGGGGCGTCGGCCGTGGCCACGCCCACCACGGCGTGCGTGCCGCGCTGCCGCGTGGCCCAGGTGATCTGCCACACGTGCAGCCCCCGCGTGTAGCCCACCTTGCCCCGGATGGCGTCCGTGCTCTGGGCCACCGGGTGCCGGTGGAACAGCAGCCGGTCGTCCTCCTTGACGAAGACGTTGAGCGAGCGGTCGTTGTGGTTCCAGGAGTGCAGCAGCTGCACCTCGCGGGGCGCGGGCGGCATGTCCAGCAGCAGCTCCAGGCGGGTGGGCGTGCAGTAGTCCAGGCCCTGGAGCTCCTGCTTCAGGGGCCGGTACGCGGGGTCCCTCATGTCCACCGTCTTGATGCCGCCGGTGACCTTCTGGCCCATGGCCGCCGCCTCCGGCCTCACGGCGCCCCCGGCAAGGCGGCCTCTGCACACGGCGCGCGGTCCGTGCTGCCTGCCGGGCGGAGAGAGAAACAGGACCGGTGAGCGGGGGCTGGGGCGGGGAGACGGCCCCCCGGGAAGGCCAGGGCCTTGGCACCGAGGGGACCCTGCCCGGTGCCCGCCGTGGAGCTGTCCTAAGGGAGAGGCCCCCAGCCTGGCAGTCGCCGGGAGAGAGAAGGATCCGGAACGGCAGTGTGGTATTTCTGAGGGCAGAAAGCCCAGTTGGCACAGGCCTGGGATCAGCCCGAGCGGTGGGCATCTCCCCTGGTGCCAGCAAGGGCGGGCTTGCTTCCCAAGCCTGCTGCTTCAGGCGGCAGAGCCCTGAGACGCCACCTCCCAGCCGCTCTCCCTCCCGGCACAGCCGCCTCCACCGGCCCCTCGGGCTCATGCCGGGGAGGGAGCGGGCTGGGCAGCCATGAACTCCTGGTCAGCGAGGGCTCGGCCCGGGCGCTCCGCTCGCTCGTGGGCCCTGAGCCTGCAGCAGCCCCCCAGACGGTCCCACCTCCGCATGGTGCCTGGACTGGGTGCCCCGTCGCTCTCGGGTGCCCGAGGCAGCCCAGGCCAGGGGGCAGGAGAGCCTCCCCCGCCCAGCGTTCCGGGCCAGCCCGTGGACGGCCACCGCCTCTCCCCTCAACCGAAGCCACGTGGGGCTCCTGGGCTCCAGCGGACCCTCGGGAGGAAGTCCGACTCCAGGACCCCTCCTCCCGCTCCGGCTGCCCGCCGCCGGCTCCCTGAGGGAGGCAGGTGGTGGGGGAGGAGAGCGCTCACTGCCTGTGTGCCCGCCACCAGGGGCTCAGCAGGGGGGGGCTGAGGGACTCACCCACCTGCCCTCCGGTCCGCCCCCCGTGCCCGCCTTGGGAAGGGAAGTGGCAGGGACCGGGCTCCTGAGCTCCCTCTGGGCTGCCCGGCGGGGGGTGGGCTCCCCCTCTGCAGTGAGCTCACTGCTCTCCCACCCGGAAGCGGAGACAGGATGCTGCAGGGCCCGGAGGGCAGGGACCAGGGGAGCTGGGCGCCGGGGACCAGGTCCTCCCGTCTGCCTGGGGCCAGCAGGCCAGGTTGGGGGATAGGAGGGACTGCGAGGGGCTGGGCGCTCCCGAGGCCCTCCCGCCCCCGGAGCCGGCCCTGCCCGGGGAGGAGGCCCCGGAGAGGATGGCTTCCTTCGGGGCCGGCCAGCCTCCTGGAGGCTGGCTCCTGGCGGGGAGAACGTTCCGGATGAGAACCCCGGGCCCCGTATCTCAGCGCAGGCCCTGCGTCTCCCCCTCCCGTCGTTTCTTCCCAGACAGGCTGGCGACCCCTCGTGTCAAATGCCCGCCAGGCCAGTGCAGAGCCGAGGCGTCCTCCTGCCGCTGGGGGACCAAGGGTTCCAGAAAGTTCTGTGCGTATGGAGACCTCGGAGTCCTCCCATCCTGGGTCTCCCAGGACCATCCGTTCCAAGCTTCCAGTCCCATCGACCCCTGAGAGCCACCGACACCTCCAGGACCCCCGTACGGCCCCCCGAGGGGCACCGTGGCTGCGGGCTGGCTGCCAGGCCTGCGGGCGGGAGAGCCGAGGCTGGCGTGGACACGGGGTCCCGTGACCCCGGGGACTGGCTGCGGTGACCCCAACCTCCACCGGAGCATCCTCTGAGCCGGGGACGGCGGGTCTGTCAGAAGCACCCACACCCATCGCTGTGCGGACACCCCCTCTGCAGGGCCCGGTGGGACACGGTTACCTTCCTGAGCTCATCTCACTGCCTCCTGGAGCAGAGCAGCCAGTGCCCTGTCCTGGCTCTGTCACCCCAGCAGGAGGGCCCCTCAGAATCCCACTGAGGAGGGTCCCACCCCGACCACGGCGACAGGGGACACTGGGCGGGGGGGGGGGCTGTGGGAGAGGATGGCCGTGGGGAGACCATGTGACAAGAGACACTGGGCGGGGGGGGGGGGCCTGTGGGAGAGGATGGCCGTGGGGAGACCATGTGACAGGGGACACTGGGCGGGGGGGGGGGGAGCTGTGGGAGAGGATGGCCGTGGGGAGACCATGTGACAGGGGACACTGGGCGGGGGGGGTGCTGTGGGGAGACCATGTGACAGGGGACACTGGGCGGGGGGGGGGGTGTGGGAGAGGATGGCCGTGGGGAGACCATGTGACAGGGGACACTGGGAGGGGGGGGGGGGCTGTGGGAGAGGATGGCCGTGGGGAGACCATGTGACAGGGGACACTGGGCGGGGGGGAGGGGGCTGTGGGAGAGGATGGCCGTGGGGAGACCATGTGACAGGGGACACTGGGCGGGGGGAGGGGAGCTGTGGGAGAGGATGGCCGTGGGGAGACCATGTGACAGGGGACACCGGGCAGGGGGGCACCAACGTGGATCCTGACAACTCCCCGTGTGTGTCGTGCCCTTTAGCCGAGCAGAGGGTACGTGTTCATTTGCCCCCCGGGACGCACCCCGAGTCCACAGCGGGCAGGGAAGGTCCCAACGCCCAGAGGGAGCTCCGGGACCATCCCAGAGGGGGAAGGAGGGTGTTATTTCTACAGTAATTTCTCCTGAAACGTCCAGTGACACCGCTTCTAACTCGCAAATGTTCATCTGCCTGTAGAAACGGGATCGCCGTCTGTCTCACAGGCCCCATGTCTGTCTCCACGGGCCCACACAGGAAACGAGAGAGTTAGGAAACCCGAACCCCAGCCGCCACGCCGGACAGCGGCCGGCTCCACTCTGCAGGCCGGACAGCGGGCCGGGCAGGGGCATGGGGGCAGGGGGTGTGCAGGGCAGGGCAGTGGCCGCAGAGGGTAGGAATTTCAGCCCTGGGCTCCGGGGACAGCGGGCTCAGCACTGCCTGTCGCTCCGTGGGGTCCCCCCCTCTACAGCCTTCCAGAGGCCCCCCCAGCTCAGTGCGGCGCCGCCCACGTGACCGATCCTTTGTTCTGTGCTCCAGAGAGTTCACGGCGGGCGCAGCACTGGGTGGCACCGGCAGCACATTGGGTGACGGGTGACAAATGCGTGGAGCGGGGTGGGGGCAGGGTGCGCGGGAGAGGCAGACACACACTCACCTCCTCCCCGCTCAGTGCCCCCTCCGTGCGCCCCTCCCTCCCTCCGTCCGTCCGTCCGTCCGTCCCACGGACCCCGGAACAGTAACACCATTGTTTGGCCCCAGGACGGGGAAGAATGAAGTTCAGGATGTGGAACAAGGTGACCTATTTAGAAAGCCTCCTTTCACCTGGAGACCAAGCCCGCTCCCTCCCACGGCGGCTCCCCCCCCCCCCCCCCCACGGGTGGCTGCAGCCCAGGGTTTTGCAAGAGAAGCCGCCCCGAGCGATCGGAGATCCTCGCAGGTCTGTGCTGGCAGCTTCTGTGCCTGGCTGCGCGCCGGCTCTGCCCGCCGGTGAGGGCCCGGGGCCCTGGGAGCCACGGCCCACCACGCTTCCTTCCCGTGGGAGCGCCCAGGGCACCCCCTGCAGGCCTGGCCACGGGCCTGGGGGAGGGGCCCCCGGCAGGAGGAGTGCCAGGCGGGCACAGCGCCCCCCGAGCTGCGCTCTCGTCAGGCAGGGGTGCAGACGTCTCTGCCCCTAGAACCACCCGAGGCCGGACCCTCCTGGGAAGTCCTGACGAGGGAGTTTGGAGGGAAAAGTCCCCCCACGGCCGATCCAAAGCTCTAGCCTCTGACCCCAAAAGACGCACCTGCCGGCAACACCCACGGAGGACCCGGATGACTCATCGGCGCTTTCAGAGCGGGCCGGGCCTGGGAAAGCAGCGCGACACTCATACAGAGACCGAGAGCTCACGGCGCGCCGCAGCCCGCCACGGCTGTGCCGGCGACGGCGGGCTCGGGGGGACCTCGGTGCCACACCGCGGCCACCGCGACCTTCCGGAACGTGTGCGGGACATGCCCAGCCCGCCTCGCCTGGCAGCGGGATGGAGTCTCGGTGCCGGGCCCCCGACCTCACCCAGCCTGGGGCTGGGCATCCGTCTATCTCACCGGCCTGCCTGGTCCACACAGGAGCTGGGGCGCCCCACGGAAAGGGGGCAGGAAGGCGGGCAGAGAGCAGTGCCATGGCCCCTCCACAGGGAGAGCCCACGGGGAAAGGCTGGGGGACACTGGTCCCCCCTCACCCCTCCCTGGCCGGGGGCAGCAGCCTGCACCCCCCCCCCCCCGGGTGACAGACAGCCTCAGCAGCTGCGTCCACACCGCCCAGCCCCTCCCGCCTCCCTTGAACTCGCGTGGACACCTGGAGGGATGGAATCGTGAATGCCAAGTGCGGGAGGGCGCTCGGCCAGGCAGTGCCCAAACGGGCACAGGGTAAGGCCTCCCAGGGCGGCCGAGGAGCCAGCCCCATCTTGGGGGTTGTTTTGGGAGGGGAGAGACCCGCAGACACCCTTCCATCAGGCGGGGAAGAGGGTGGAGAGGAGAGACGCCCCCGTGAGGCCGCACTCCGGCAAAGCTGCCTCTGGGGGTGCAACTTCAGAACCCCCAAATCAACCATCCCCGTGGGCCCACTGCCGCAGCGGGCAGAGGCCGGAGGGATGCTGGCCTGTCCTTAGGCTCACGGTGCGGTTCCCAAAGTGAGGTCCCCCCGGCACCAGCAGATCAGCATCGCAGGTCAGAGCCACAAAGCCACGCCCTGCCCGGACCTCCTGAGTCAGAGACGTGGGGTGCCCCCCCCACCCGCCCCATCTGCATCCTAATGAGTCCTCCGGGGGCCAGGCGCTGCTGGCTGAAAGGACTGGAGCTCAGTTTTTGGAAACTCACATCCCTATGACACGAGAACCGTCAGGCGCGGGCTGATCGCCACAACCTGTGACACTTCCTGTGCTGTCCTGACTTGACAGATTTCAAACGCCACCTGGGCTCCTAGGAACGCTCCGCCCAGGAATATGTAAGCCGTAAGGTGAAGGGTCCCCCCGGCCACTCTCTGGTGCGCATTCAAGTGCAGACGCAAAGCAAAGGACCCCCTCCCCCAAGTCCTCCCCTGTGCTCTCCCCAAATACCCATCTATTGGCGGGAGGCCACGTTCACGCGTCAGGAGCGGCACAGT